ATCATCATCATCATCATCATCATCATCATCATCATCATCATCTAGATTTTGTTTAAATATAAGGAAAATGTCCTTAGGATAAGCTCCGTATAACTCTGGTACGACTCTCATGGACACTTCAATTGGTCTGCTTACACTTTTCAGAGGATTGTATTAGGTGATCTTTGTGGTCCCCAATTCTCCAATTCTATGATTATACTGTATATCATACAGTAGAAGGTCTCCATTGTTCCAGAATGCAGAATATGAAATAATAGATTTAAACTACAGCAGTGCAGATCCTGACGGACTGTTAGCATAAAACGTCTTAGCATTAAGAACCATCTGAGGGTGAAATCTGTTAGACAGAGAGATGGTGAGTTCCTCTTCATTGAATGGGTTCAAAAGCGGTCCTAGATAGCTATGTGTCAGGGGTGCTTTAATCTGGATTCCTGCACTGAACAGGTGGTTGGACTCAGTGGCCTTTTCAGCTCTATGATCGCAATAAGCCTCTCTAGGGCAGGCAGTCCACAGATGGATGCGGCACCTAGAGATGCTTTTTCTCTTCTATACCTGCACCTCAAAGTATGGAGGAAGGCTTGCAGGTATGAGTGCAGCCAAGTTGGTTTTGCCTTTAAAAGCTGGATTTGCACTTTGAGCCATGAGACAGATTACAGCCAATCTGAAGGCATAATCTGTTCTGACATAACATGATCATAGTGGCCAGTCCCAGGGTAACTGCCCTGTTTTGCTGTAAGTGAAGTTTCCAGAAAGCCCCATATATAACACATTATAATAAATCAAATGGAAAGGTTATTTATAACAGAGCATGAATAACAGTCCCAAGGCTATTCCTATCAGGCTAGAATGTTAATTAGTATATCAGCCTGAGCAGAGAACAGACCTCTAATGATAGAAGCAACCCCAGATGCTGATCCTGATCTTTAAAGCATGAATCTTTTGCCTCATGAGATAAAAGGAAATAATTTTTAAATGATTTGAAACTCTGTGAGATAGTTGAATTGTTGAGGTTGCAAATAAAAATTCTGAAATTTCACAAGCTCTTCTGAGATTTTAGAAGTTTCATGTGAGAGAACTTCCTGCTCTGTGCCATGCTCTTACAATGTGTGCAAATGATTCCCAGGTCAAACCAAGTTATTTGCTGATGAACTAGCAACAGACCCTTCAATCTGTCAGTCAAGAAACAGAGAATAGAGTAGATCAGGGACATCCTGGGCGGGGGGGAGAGGAGTGTGTCTAAAAGTAAATTTTCTGTTCCACCCCATCTTCCATTTCACCAGGAAGAACCCCAAAACCTCATCAAAGAAATCCCAGCCACTGTCTGATTTCTTGTGTCATTTCTATGACTCTTGCTTCCTGTGCCTTTACTGCCCTTAAGTACCCAAATACTCAGGCAGATGCAAGGAGCAGTGGATGCGGCAATTATTCTCCATGCTACTGTTGTTTATGGAAAATGAGTCTCCTGCTGCTAGGACATTTTCATGGTCTGGAGGATGTGCCCAGAGCCTGGGACATCTTTCCCCAAATTGAGTTGCTCCTAGCAAAACTGGGACATCAGGTCATCCTAACCAACAGAAAACCATCTATTTTACCCATTTTTCATTCTGACACTTTTCTGCTTAAAACTGTCCCAAACTCATTCTTCATTTTTCTGCCCATAGAAAGGGAAGAAAAGGTATTTTCTCTTAATAATAGGAAAACAAGTGGACTTCCAGGGAAGAAACCAACTCTTCAATAATTCCTCTCCTTACAAGGAGAGAACTTGAGATTACCCACAAGTGCTCCTTCTCAAAAGAAGACTGCAAGATAGCGGCCTCTGGTGGGTTTAAAGCTCTGGGAGATGGTAGAATAGCCATCTTGCTCAAACGACGGTCAGTGCCTTTAAAAGGACACTGGGTTTGGATACTTCCTTTTCTAATCACTTTCAAAAATTGCCTATTGATCATAAAGTTATCAGAGACCTTCAGAATGACAAGTCTGAAAAGTCATTGGGTGAGTTTATCTTCAGCTCTGAACAAAAGAAAAATTAATTATAAGCTTAAGAACTTTAATTTAAAATAAACAGCAAAAAGCTAAGATTTTGACCTAAGAAAGTTATAAATGAATTAAGGGTTCAGATCAATTTGAAATATTGACTTTTACTATAAGATTTTGGAATTAATTATAAAAAATAAATACCTTCTCATGAGAAACAGACTTATTTTGGCTATCCTGGCTATTGTAAGTCATAACAAAGGTAAGTTACTTTATGATTTTAGAAACTGGACACTTGAAGGGACTAACGATTCTAAGCAGAAGAAAAAAAAACAATCCTATTCTTGATGTCACTTAATATGGAACTTACAAAATGACACAAACTGTTATAACATTGGAAACATTAAAGGAGATATTTGAAAAATGGAGCCAGAAATTAATAACTACAATGTCAACACCGTCAGTAATAATGTCTGCTTCTATGGGTAGACTATGTCAAAAAATGTTAATGAAGGAATGACAGATGTGGAACAAACTTTATCTGACAAGACAGAGAAAGTACCGAAAGTGGAACTACAAATGACAGGCCAGGAGAATGATTTGGAAAAGGACACTTTACTGGATATACAAAAGAAACTATCTGAAGCTTTAAAAATTAAAAGAAAAATACAAATGATAAACCAAGAGAATGACCTGGAAAATGTTTTCTTATTGGATCTACAAAAGAGGCTTGTTAAAGCCTTGAAGAAATCTGTGTGATGGGATAAATAAGATTTGAAGAAAAATAAAATCCTATGACAAATTTGATTGAATAAAGATTAAGACTGTTAGAAGAAAAAGGAAGGAATGTAAAGTTGGTTTATTTGATCAAGGTTAAAATAAGACTTTTTTTTTTTTTTGCAAAGTTCTGGCAACCCTTTATGGATTTTTTGCTGACATCAGGATTGAAAAGTTGATCTTCTATGGATTTGCTTATAGATAAGGGCTGAGATATGGGATGAAGAGTGGGGGTGAAGAGTTACTAAATTTGTTTATGCTTGTGATGAAGGTTGGAAGTAACTTTTTTATATATTTCTTTTCTTTTTCTTTATTATGTTCTTTCTTTTCTTTTTCTTCTTTCTTCTTTTCTTTTTTTCCTGCACTTTTTCTTTTTCTATTCTCTCCTCTTTCTCTAAGTTTAGTTTGTATTAGTTTTTACTATTCTAATCAAAATTCTTAATACAAATTATATTCAAAAAAAAGTTGAGAGAAAGTCTGGATATTACTTACTGTCACAAACATAAGGCTTATCATGGTCATCCATAGAAGAAACATCGTTCCTTCGCCTACCACCACCAGAGCCTCGAGCCTAGAATGAAACCAAGATATTAATGTAAAAGCTATTTTTTTCTGGTTTTCTCCAGAACATTAAACTCAAAATAATTTTACAAATCATACAGTAAACATTCTATTTTGTCATCATTACTATTACACGTTCATGAGAACAGGTGTCCCTTGAGCAAATTAATGAATTAGCACTAGCTTTGAAAACATGAAGTTGTTTCAGATTTTGAATTCAAGAGCTGCTTGTAGATTCCACAGCACAAGAAAGATACTTGACCACCGACCCTGCCCAGAAAATGTGGCAAGTGTGCCTACATAGGTTGGTAAAACAATATCCTTGAGTACTGCTAGAATTCTCAAATGACCATTGGTACTAATGTGCTCGTTTTCTCCCTATCCAATGTTTTGGGACCAGATTTTATCAAGTTGCAGCTGCAGGAAATTGGGAAGTTCCCATTTCATTGTTCCACACTGTCCTGGACCATGTGGGAATTGCAACACAGCAACAGGTTCACTCTTTCATATCCTATATCCACTCTCAAAAGGACTATAAAGAGTTAGTGAAATGAGGCTTATTAAAATTAAATCAAAATATGTGCTGATAGAATTAAAGGAAGCAAAAAATAAAATACCTAGTCCCATGTATGCATGTTGATTTCTAAATGTGTCCTTTTTTCAAAATACTGGTTGATGAAGCGTGTACATTATACTACCACTGAATGATTCTACTATTACTGTTATGCATACTGTTGCACAATAATTTGCAACTGCACCTAACCTTCACTGTGGTGTATAAAATATCAAGTATACAAAATAAACATGAAAACATCCCTATTATCAGGGTAATCTGTGCATTAGGGTCTCAGGCCTTAGTACTCCATCCACTTCTTAAATCCAAGTCCTTAAATGTGGATTCACAAGTCCTTGGACTTCAAATCTCTTTATCAACATTCCCATAATTTTATACCTGGCCTCAGTGGGCTGGCAAAGAGACAACCACCCTTGAAGCACAAACTGAGTGCCACGTGGTTGCTGCCATTGCTTCAGTCTGTGGCATTCAGTCATCTACAGCTACCTTCAGCTCCTGCCATTATATAGCAAGAAATTGATGTATGAAGCTGAAAAGCTTCAAAAGAGCAGCCTTGGAGCACTCAAATGCAGCCAAATGGGGATGCTTGCCAGAAGGACAGATGAAGGCGCCCAGGATTAAAAATGAAATCATGCTGTGGAAAGAAAAGGACGTGCACAAATTTGGAATGACCAGCATACTCATTACTCTGTATTATTTCTGCCTTGGATACCTTCTTATTAGTTCTCTGAAACAATCAGTTAGGAACCTATATTCTAGATTTAAGGACTTTAGAAGATCCAGTTTGCTTCAGAAAATTGGTTGCAATAGGAACTTAGTGCAGAGAAGGAGGAAGTCCCATTTATTCCAGAAAAAATATGGTGTACATAAGTCAATCATATGTATTGGGAGTATTCCAGGGAGAGAGAATGTTGGAAACAAATGATAAAGCTTGGAAATGGATGCAAAAGAATTAGAATACTTTAAAGCAAGGATGGGCAAGTTGATAAGATTTACTTTATGCTTTATTTTTTTGTGGTTTTTTAGAGGTGCAAGGTCCATCAATTAGGGCTAGGTGCAAAATAGTGTCTCAAGAAATCAATGTCCTGCATTCCATGAGTCATATACTAGATCAGTTTGTTTATACAAAAACTAAATCTTCATTTTATTAAAAGATGCATTTAACAGAAAATTAAAATAGCCAGCATGATTACACAAAATCCTTGTCAAAAGCAACCAGTTAATAACCATATTTAACTTATGAGGAGTACAAAGGTCAAATACTAAGCAATTAGCATATGACCAGACATGGCAGAGATCCTTAGTTTTTCCTTGCAATTTTACTTCCTATTACTAAATTATTGAGAGTCAGAAAACCTTGCCAATCACTAGGGAATCACCAACATACAAAGTTCAATCTGCAAGGGTTAGCAAAGAAATAGTTTAAGTTTCAACCTCTTTATTCATTCTTCCTCTGAGGAGGTTCATTAAAGTTAAAACAAGGACACCTTTCAGTAGGACAGTATGACATTTCTGTTTTCCAGAACTGGGATTAAAATTAAAAGTAGAGATCTAGCACTATGCTCTGTTTTAATGGCATTGTTATCTTATTAAATTAGTAATCCCTTTAAGTTTTCAACATAAAGTTGGGTATTCACCTAAACACACAAAAAATCAGTAATATGTTCAGTTTTAATATAAGGATTCAAATTATGGCACGTTACAAAGAGATGATGGGAGAAAACAAGGAAATGAGAAAGCAGTTCATCTTTCACTGAGATATTACATGGTTCCTTCAGACAAAGTAGACTGGCCTAGCAGCTAATATGCTAGGACAGTGTTCAGTCTTAACATGATGGACAAATTTCACAGGCATGCTCTCAGCTGAGATCTGGAGTTGGAATAGTTTAGTGGTAGAACAAATACTTTGCTTACAGCTTGGCATGTAATGTTATGATTTTAATTGAAAGTTCCAGCGTGGTTTGGTCAGTCTAGTACAGATTCTGCAAGCTCCATTTCCCTCTCCCCGTGAACTTCCTCTGCCCACAGAAAAGACATGGGGTAGCTTTTACCATTTTGAGACCAGAAGCAGTAAATGCTACAATGTAAACCTTAAAATAGGCTAAACGTAGTTCTAACAAATTCTTTAAAACTCATCCCTAAAATCTGGAAAAATAAAACAAAGATCTTGTTTTCCCATTTGTATCTTCATATCATCCCTTGTGGCTCTTAGGGTTCTCCCAGCTGTTAAGCCTCTAAAACAATGTTTCTCAGCCTTGGCAACTTTAAGACATGTGGACTTCAATTCCCAGAATTCTCTAGCCAGCAT